AAACCTGTGGAGGGCACTAAACAAACAAAAAGAAGTATAATGAGGAAAGCCAGGAGTGCAACTTTTTCAGACAAGAAGAAAAGTACAAAAGACAAAGCCAAGAGTGGCAAACAAAGTGAAAGTCATCATATAAATTTTCTCAGCTTTGCCGAGGGAGATAAAGCAAACACTTCTCAGTTGTCTGAGCTATCTATCACCTGTTTTTCTCTACCTCTGCACCATCTAGTACACTTTAATATTATCAGCACCAGCAAGCAAAGCTCTGTGGACGCAATGAAGAAAAACTATTTAAGGTCTGAGCAGTGCTGTACATATCCCTCTATAGTGCAATAAACATGACTGTCACTGGAATAAATAAAACCGAGAACTATGGGAGCTGCATAAATTATTCACAACTTATTACAGTTAGGCAACAGATAAGTGAGCTGGAATGAACTTTTTTGCCAACTAGAAACAAATGTTTATTTGAATCATTAACTCTATATGTATGGACAATGCTTCATCACTTCACTCCACTATGCAAAAGTGAATCCAAGATATTGCAAAAACAATAGCTGCCATCTTGGTATTTTATAATCAGATTCTGCAGATTCTAAGGAAGTAGATGAATGACACATCAGGCCACCAATCAGAGCTGTCAAATTTATCATATCATCAAATAACTTATTAAAAGCAACCTTACCAGAAAAACTTGTATGCACACCAATTCGATAAAATTCTACTGAAAACCACAGAAATCACCACTGGGGAAAAATTTATTTGATTTGAACTTTGAGTTTTTATTTTGGCCCATCCACTAACATGGAGGAGGCAGGATTTATGGCCTTTACTGCAACCAGCCACCAGGGGGCGATGGCGCCACAGTGGCTTCACTTCTGGGAGCTCTCACTTTGTCCATCTTTTATACAGTCGATGATTTGAACAGCCTAAAATTCAACAATGAATCTAAGTGTGACCTTTCAAACTAATATTACCCTGTGTTTATACCATGTCTGAGCTACAGTATGTTAATTATCAGTTTGAGACTTGTAAATTCCCTTAATGGCCTTTCATGCCAACATCCAAGCTGTAATTGCATAAATCAGGATGTTTCAGAAACCAAATCCAGTGTTTAAATCCAATGCTTGCAACAGGTGCAAGCACTCATACATCCCTGCCATTCCTCTCAGGAACACAGCACTAAGGAACCAACAAACAAACAACACATATGGGTGAAGGCCTAACACCCCTCTGGACACAAACACACACACATGCTGTGTTTTCATTCCTTGTGGGGACTTTACATTGACTTACATTCATTTCCTATAGACTTACCCTAACCTTAACCATAACCACCACTTGCCTAACACCTAACCCTGACCCTAACCTCATCCTAACCCTAAACCTTGTTGCCACCCTAAAATTCAGTGATTTCCTTGTGGGGACTAGCTTCTGGTCCCCACAAGGATGGCTGAGTCCCCACAGTGTGAGTGTGTTAACAGGTTTTGGTCCTCATGATGTAAGTAATACAAAGGCAAGCAAACACACACACACACTCAAGCCAAACACACTGAAACTAAAGACCACCCCCGTCTCACAGATTGCCTCAGAATTGAATCAACAAATCTGTAACACAGTTTCAACAAACACCGAACAAAGATCCCTGCCATTTGAAAACCACTTTCACCCACTGCCAACACATTAAGACCTGTGTAAACCTGCTGGAGTGCTGAGAAAAGGAAAGTGCAATATAGGTTGATGAGCTGGATTTCACTTTTTCCCCATCATCCTTCTTTGTTCATGCTTGAAAAAACCTTATTTTCAAACCAGCTGCCTGTGACACAGTGTTAATAATGGACATCTAGCTCAAAAAAGACATTTGAAGATATTTTTCTCAGTATCTCCCTAAATGTGCAATAGTTAATGTAGCTACAAAACAGTCACAGTCAAGAAAATAAACACACCTTCTCTGTTTCTGCTTAACAAAATTTGACTTTAAAATGTTTTACTGACTTTGGTAAAAATAGATTTTTAAATCCTTATGGTTAAATAAACATCAAAATAGCTGCAGACAACTGATGAATGGCAAATATAAAGCTGAGTGTTTTAGTGATTGGTTTGCAATTGATTTTTATTTGGTTTTGTTTTATTTTATTGGAGCTGGCCTAAAATGTGCTTAATCATAGTTTTAATTCATCTTACAAGCAATAAATTAGTTGTGGTGTGTTACACATTTCAATAAAAAGTGATATTAAATTGACCTTGTAACATGCTCCAGAGAGGTCATGGACAAGTAACGGTTAACACACATGTGAGACTGAATCCCAGCCTCAGGACACTAATCACCATCAGCTGGAGCTCGTTAACTGAAGGAGCTCAATCAAAGCTCATTAGTGACCCAGCAGCAAGCTAGTGAAGGCCCAAGACCTCTGCTCTGCTGCCTTTTCCCTTTAATACCTTTGTGCTGTTGTAATAAAATATGCACCAGGGTCTTATATGCATTGCAAGGAGCATACCACCCAGCTGTGTGGCTCATCTGGTGTTTCTCTAAACCCCACAGACTGAGACAAGTTCCAGTAGAAACATTTTCAGACCACATGCTGTCATTAAGAATAACAGTGTTACATTCTGTTCCAATTTCAGTGCGTACTGTAGTATGTAAAGAAATGTAAGAATAATCAGATATGTTACAACAAATTTGCATTACCACTACATTAACACATTTTCCTATTTTTTTTCTTCAGTTATTCTCCTTCTACAATCCTCCATTTTTAGTATTTACAGATTCTCTTTCCCATGTGTGCACCTGGTGATGCCGTTCTGGACGGATTTGGTTTTTCATTAGTCTTTTCCGCGGTTGTCTCCTCTCCACTTGGCGCTTGGGTTCCCTCCTCATCTCCCATCCCCACTAGGTAGTTCCAAGGCTTCCAGATGGATTTCACAATCTTTGAGATCACCTGAAATCATAAGCACATGCTACAGAAACTTAGCGGATTCAGAGATGCTGTGTTTTTTTAGTATTTTACATCTAATAACAAAACCAGACCAACCTTCTTGTCAGCAGGAGTTGGGTGAACTGGGGGTCGCAGAAACTCCTCGGAGTCAGGGCCAGGCTCCAGGGGCTCTCCCCAGTCCAGGGTGCTCTGCCCTGGGATTAGCTGGACAGTCACATAGGACCCAGAGGACTCAGAGGACCAAGCAGATATGGCTGAGGAGACAAACAGTTGAATAATAATCTGCATCTTTTGGTCAGTAAGAGCAGTCTTTCTTATTAGTATTAATAACAGAACTCACAGTCATCAGTGCTGTGAAGACTGGCCTCCTCTTCAAGATCAACTAATCCTGTCCAGTTGGAAGGTGAAACATCAGTGCTGTCTGAGGGCCCTGCACAAATGTATGTGTAGAGAACATACATTCTTACTGTGTGTAGTATATTATTCTCTGATTAATCAGCTGGTTTGTGATTCTACCGATCTGCTAATTGTAGACAAACGCACAACCTCTGGTAGTGGTGGGTTGCTGTGTAGTCAGGTCGGGACTATCTGTCCCTGTGGGCTCAGCTTCACTTGAGTCTGTGAGGTAGCTCCAGGGCTTCCACAGGGAGGTGTAGATCTGAGAGATGAAGCCCGTATTCGTCACTTTACCTAAGAAACAAGAGATTTGCTGTTCACGCGGCAGTTGCTGAAGAATTCTATTTAATTTGTCTCAAAGCTTTCCTGGATTTTAATTTTAATAAAATTATCCTGTATCAGTCAATACAAAAGCCTGAACTAAAACTGAGTATCTTGATATTTAATGTCAACAGTCCTGTCTGCTCTTTGTCTCTCTCTCTCCCACAGCTTCTGTCAATCTAGCGGTTTCACAGATACATGCCGGTGAGATAGATAATGTGGATCGTAAACCAGTGTTGCCATAGCTACAACAGTGGAAATGGCACTTTTTTCATTATTACTATACAAACAGCACTTAAAGCTTCAACACTTCTGTCATGAATGAGATAGTAGTATTCATTATTTCTGTGGCCATTCTTGATCTATACATTCCAATTAATGCCACTGAAATAACATTTCAAGATAATTACAATGGCACAAGAGATTCACTCTGTTCATGTTTATTACTGTCTGAAGAATCAATATTGATTTAGCTCTATGTTGGTGATAGCTTTATCCATAAATAAAAAGAGCATGCCAATACAACCTCTGTAGCAGTAGGCATCATATAGCGCTGTGGCATTGTCATTGGTGCCATTAGGTGTGATGGTGCGGACTCCCGGCAGGCTCCCTCCGCAGTCTGGGCGAGGCCAGGTCACTGGGTAGCGGATACTGCCATCAGACAGCCAGCCTGGGGCGCAGCTGTCTAGGCCGGCTCTCCAGGCCAGATAAAGCTGCCCTACCGTGGCCAGCTGCCCCCCAAGGGACACACAGCGGTCTGAGGCTGAAGACAGCGACAGCCTGCCAGGGACTGAGGAGTGAAACACCTCACCTGGAGGAGGGGCACATGACACAGGACACGATGCCTGTCAGACTAAATAACTATGACAACTATGATACCACACTAAAGGTACTGGTGCTTAAAGGATAAGGCTAATGATATGTAATCATCTTGTCTGTGGCACTTAGCCTCAAGCATGTTTATTGATATTAAAAAAACAATTCTACAAAAGCAGGTAGCAAATATAAAGTAAATAAAAAGCTAAATAATTTCCTAAGACATATAGCCATTGTGGTTCTTAGTAAACACTACACAAAAATTAGTTAATGGTGCATTTATTGGAGGCTGTTTTTAGCTGTGGATTAATAAATAGACTTAATCTTGTAAAGCGCTTTTCTATGCACTGAAGCATACTCCGAGCACTTTAATACTCTTTACCCATTCACCCACATAAACATTCGCAGGCCAATGATATCACTGGGAGCAACCTGGGTTTCAGTGTCTTGCCCAGTGACACTTCAGCATGTGGACTGGAGAAGCTTAGGATCAAACAGCCCTTCCTCCACTTAGGCATCGACCTGCCCTACCTCCTGTTATTTGCTATTTTCAACAGCAGGACAGTGTTTTTGGGCTTGGCTCATAATTTACCACATGCCAGTGTTTTAATGAAGGGACATGTGTGACTCCCTGATGGCTTTTTTAGATTATGGGCAAAAATAGAGGTCTATGACACAGAGAAACAAGCTTTGCTACACAAACAACACACTAGCAGCATCACTTCATTGGTGTTTTTTTGTATTTCATTGGAATGACACTACAAAAAAGACAAAAAAAGGCACGCTACCAGACCTATCCTTTGTTGGGGAATATGAAGCAAATGTCAGTGCAAAGCCAAGAGCTGTGACAGATTGTTATGTTTTATGTAAGTGTGTGTGTGTATGTGTGTGTGTGTGTACCGTCCAGTTCTTTTGCAAAACAGTACACATCAAACAGTTCTTTCGGGTCCCTTTTCCCATAATTCCTCACTCCAGCGGAGTACTCCTTGTGTCCATAGCAACCAAGCTCTGGCAGCTGGACAGAATAACTGTGGAGACAACAAGTGAGATCAAAAGTATATTGATCAGAGTTTGCTGATAAAGTGTGCAGAAAAAAGAAAAACAATATGTGGGTCATGGGAAATAAGTACCACAGATGTATTATGGACATTTGCCTGTTTGGCCATGATCTCAGCTCACATAGCATCATCAAGATTTTAAATATCAGTTAAGATCAAATTCTAGAATAAATAAAAGCAATACAAATTAAACTCCAATAATGATATATTACATAAATAAAAACACATTTAACATCGTTAACAAGTGAATATTAATTGAAGAGAGGGAATAGACAAAACAGAGATTAGAGAATTTTCAGGCATGTTAAAAAATGCAGCATGTATTGATTTTTTTTTATGAATGAGCAGTTTCTTTCTGTTTCCATCCTTTGTGCTAAGCTAAACAGCTGATGGATGTAGCTTCATACTGTATGTAGCAAATGAGAATGGAATTAATCCTCTTACCTGACTCTTGGCAAGAAAGCAAATAAAATAAAAGGGGCCAAATTTAACTGGATTCAGTTTCACAAACGGAAAAAAGTTAACTGGTTTTCTTTGTCTTTCATAGTAAAAAGTATCTTGATCTCTCCAAAACTGCAACGGACATTTTTCAGTATGTTTCTGCATCATTTTCATAATTAGTGTTGCAGCTAATTATTATTTTTAGTATCAGTTCATCTGCTAATTCAAATCATTTGATCTATTGTGCAAAAACACACAATTTCCCAATGTCGATGTCTTCTCTGAGGATAAGCAGCAGATCCTCAGAGCAGGGGAGCAGGTATGAGAGAATGTTTTGGCAGTTCTGCTTGAAAAATTCATTTTCATGTGATTATTCAGCTAATTGTTTCAGCTCCGCTTCAGATGAATCAATCATAAAAATAATTGTTAGTTATTGCTAAACAAAGCTGCGCCTAGTGAGCAACAACGCGCACTAACAGTGAGACAAGCAGAAGGAAGTTACTGAGCATCTTCGCACCGGACAGTCTGATCATCCAACCAGCCGGCTGCGCAGCTGGCAAAGCCGTCGTAGTACGCCGCCCACAGCTGGGCTGGTGTGGCGATCTGAGCGGAGTTTTCCTGGCACGCCCGCTGTGCGTCAGAAAACGAGAAGACGTAACGAGCACTGGGAGCCTGGTAATGAAACACCACACCTACAGAAACAGAGAAAGATGCTGAGGTAAACTTTTTTCCCTTCTTTTTTATTTGAGAGATTTACCAACAGAGCTAAGTTTAAAATCAATGAGATGTAATCAATAAACATGTTATTGTGGCCACAAACAGATCAATCCAACACTATGTGAGTTTCAGCTGAGATTTCACAGATAAGCACACAGAAAAATGATCATTGGTATTCAGTACAAAGACCTGAATTGATGGAATTGCACAATTACTCAAGTGGAAAACTACATAACAAAAACAACACAGACATGGAAAGCATCATTAATGAAGTCATTTTGATACTGATATTGCAAATCAATGTTATTAATGTTTAATTAAACAAAAAAGCAGAGGAGGGGTTGGCAGTACTCCAGTTTTAAAGCTGGCATTATTTATCTTACATAGGCACGACAAGCACACAATGCAATAAAGAGCAGAGATTTGTTAAGCAAGAAGAAGCTTTAAAGCCTTTTGTATTAATGCTGCTTTAGTGTGTCGCTGACATTTCTGCTTAGTTCAAGTGTTTCCTTTGTGGAGCTGTGGCACTAAACTTTCCTCACAATGAAATCTCCGTCAGTGGCTGTTGCACTTACCGGAGACCACCAGCGGCACAGTGTCTCTCTCGTAGTCGTTGCCCATGACAACCTGACAGTGGTAAGTGCCTGAGTCGCTGGTTCGGAGACTGGAGAGCTCCATGGTAGCATTCAGAGGATTGGCAGCGTACCCGGGCAGCATGACGCGGCCACTGAAAGCCTTATTCACCTTGATTACATCACCTTTGGCACAGAAAAAGAGGTTTCCTCATTACAAAAGTCTGCTGGCACCCTGTAGGTTTTAGAGATACATAATAAGGTTTAAGGCACCCTAGATAGATAGACTGGGCATAACATCACTACATAATGAGAGGGCTTATCTCATTTTAATTTCAGATGTTGCTGTTGTCAGCTTAAGGTCTTTGTCATTGCTTTGCTTCAGAGGCCCTCAGATCCAGTCTTTATTAAGCTGGCAATAACACTTTCGTGTTTTTGCATCAGGAACAATGCGATCCCCCCTTCAGCAGGTGTGACAAACCTCATCCAGTAGATATGGAGAAAGATTCATGTGGAGTCATGTTTCAGACCAGCTGACAAATCCAGTGTTCACCCTTTTTAGCTTGGCTTGGTTTGATACATATTTGGCTCGTTAGTTACTAAATGCTCCTCTGTGTGCACCAGGAAGTTGTTAATTTATAGCTGTTGTGTGAGGGCAGTGGTGTACAATTGGTTTTTAGAGTTTTTCATTAAAAAAGCGACCTGCTGATGAGACTGAACTTTGCTAAAAACCATCCACTCAAGTAAATTTGGAGCTTTAATAGCAGAGCTGAAAACTGCTATTGAAAAAATGTACCTCTTTTTAATTCCTGAAGCTGCTGTTGTCGGCTTGTTAAGTTCTTTGACATCGTGATGCCTTCAAATTGATTACTTAAAATACCCTGAGCTGAGCAGAACTGCAGCAAGCGATAACGTCTTCCCATACACATCTGATCCGCTCTTAATGTAAAAATACTGGGTACAGCTTTGGGTGCACTGGCATAAATGTTATTTCACTGAGTTATGCAAATCTCAGTCATCAGTGAAATCAGATTTTGTTTTACCTTTAGCTGAAAGCACAGTCTGCTCCAGAGGGGCACCTTGTCCTCCTGCTGGGAGCCTGATGTGAGTCCACAGAAGGTGAGGAGGCTGGCTGGAGGAGATGGTCTGGAGGGTGAAGACACAGGGGAGGACGGCTTTGCCTGCCAGTGTTTCTCTTACTGTAGGATGGGTGATCCTACGCATGTTTACTATGGAGGAGGATGCACCTAGAGTGGAACAACAAGAAGACAGAAACTAACTGGAAAGCACAAAAAGATCCTCTAATGAGCAGTAAGCAGATGAATACATTGTGACAGATATGGACATGTCTGCTAATGGATTAAGGTAAATGCCACATTATAAAGGAAAAGGCTAGTGAAAATTGAAAGTCTAGGCTATACTGTAGGTTCTCACCAAGGTGTCCTCTAACAAGGCCTCAGGGATTCATTAGCAACTTCACACTCATATTTCCACACAGGAAGGAATAACTTATTTTATCATTCCAGCAAAGGAACACCTGTACAATGAAAAACACAGACCGGTGACCGTAGAGGCTCACAGATCACAACTTTTATTGTGACCACAGGGTATACTACATCCACTACTGAAGATTTTGAGATGCAGGTGAAATCTCCAGAAACAGCTACTGCAACAACCTTGAGTTAATGGGGTATTTTTTTCATAAAATTTCATTTACTTCAATGATCAAAACACTACTGTATACTCATTACTAATCTATAACAAGTTCTGTGTTTCTGTGCACAAAACCAAGGAGTAACATGGACAGTAATTTGCTACAGTGCTTGTCATCCTACTGAGACAAAGGCAAGAGACGCAATACAAAACCTTTAATACGCTTTAAGACTTTGCTCGGTAATTTTTGTGTATGTTTCTTGCTCTCTCCATTTAAATTTTTACCGTTAGTCAAATACACCAATTTAAAGAAAGGTAATATGAGTGTAACAAGAGAACCACTGTTTGAAAAAAAAAGCCTTATATGGATTATAACATGGTGGAATTTAATCCCCAATAGATATTTCCATCTGCATTTAAACTGGAAGGTTTTCACAAGCTGAACCTCCTGAGATCATTTCTCTGTGCTGAAGAACGCCCCCGCTGCCTTCGCCCAAATCAGACGTAATCACAGAAATCACAAATACCATGAAAAAGCAGAGACAAGACAGAGATGGAGGGCAAGAGGGAGTGGTGTAAATTGAGAAATGACAAGTGTACCCTGTAGTATGGCGATGACAGATGGGACAAGAGAAGAACAGTCTAAAACGGGAAACAGACAGCTGGAAGTGACAGGAAAGGACTTTCTCTGTCAATAACAGTTGGCATCTCTTATTCCTGTCAGTCCTCTTCCAGAGACCACTGAGCTCTCTGATTACAGATAAACTGCAAGCAGGGTTTTAAGGCTGCTATCAGTGTTTCTTAAACTGAAACTCAAGCTTGTGCTGGTTAATTGGTTTTGAACATTGGTAACATTACAGTCCACAAATCTATAAGGCCATAATGACAAATACTAAATACATATTTTTCAGATGCTAAGCACAAGTGCTCATTGCTGACCTTGGAAACAATAACTTAATAAAACTCTTAATTCAAGGGCTTCCTACGAACATTTTCTGGAGCTTTATCAGTTTGCTCACTTGTTGAAGGCACAGACAAAACAAATAATTTTTCTTGTGAAAATAATCAATATTGTTTCCTCTGTTATATGGCTCAAAGCTCTAAAAAAAAAGAAGCAAGTAAGTGGACACTAAGTTCGATTTTGCAGTCATTCTATACCCACTTATTTTGTTTAGGGTCACACAGGGCTGGATTCTATCCCAGCATGCTTTAGGGATAAGGGCACGTATCCTAGGCTGATTGTCAGTATCAGAGGACAAACGCATACAGCTAAACAGAGTTCAGCTGTCATATTTTTATGAAGTAATTTGACATTTGTGGAACTATGCTGTCGTGATTTCTTGCTGATCAGAAGATTAATATCACTGTCTGTAACCATGAAGCTACAGCCAGAGTCTGGGCAGCTTAGCTTAGCACAAAGTCTAGAAAAAGAGGGACACAGCTAGACTGGCTCTGTTTAAAGGTGACAAATTCTATCTACCAGCACTTCTAAAATTCACCAATTAAGATCTCATAAAAAAATTGAAGTGTAAAAATTGCAGGCTGTGGTTTTATGCTGGACTGTTTCTTGGCTAGGAGTTCAACAGCCTATTGTTTCCAGTCTTTATGCTAACTGGCCGCTTACAGTCATGAGCGTTAACTAACTCCCAGCATGGAAGCCTAGAAGTGTATTTCTTATATGGACAGTCTATTCCTTTAAGAAAAATGGCTGAGATACAGTCCCATTTACGAGGATAGGAATGTAACGCTATATTGTTTAAGGCCAGGATAAGGCCAGTCATTTTTTATATTAACACTCCCCACAGAGACTAAAGCCGACAGTGATTTGCCTCTACTCATGGTTAATGTCTGTCAATCTGTCAGAACTGGATTAGTTATTTGTCTGTACCACTTGCCTCCATTGTTGTTCAAAAACAATTATACACATCAGTGGTTGACAAGTTTCCTCATTACAAAACACAATAGCCTAATATTTTTTAAAATGCTGCCCCAAAGGCTCAGAACAACCACAAATTTTACAGTGTCTGAAGTAGGCAAGAGTCAAGGGCACATGCACAAGATCTCTGGATATTCTTAACAAATGTCAGGGTCTTACGTTTTGCAGTAAGGAAACATGTCACTAAGTGCAGCAGTGTGTTTTGCTAAGGTGTTTTTAATCATTATTGAATGACAATGGAGGTCTATGGCATAGACAAATCTAGGATTGACAGACACTGACGGTGAGCAGAGGCAAATCATTGTCGGTTTTAGTCTCTGTATGGGGGGTGTTGAAAATACTGTTAATATAGAAATGACCAGTCTGATCCTTTAAAAGTTCAGGTAATCCTCATCAACTCCTAAATGCAAAGAAAATCAATAGCAGACACTAGCAGAGCTGCCGAGCTCAAAACTGAAACCCCACACAGAAATCTCAGTTTTATTCTTGTTAACAAACTGAAGCTGTCCAACATCAGAACTCACAGAGCAAACTCCATGCACACGTGTCTGTTTGGTATGTTGTGGTTTTTTTTCAATGCTTAAGGAACATTGTATGATGATAAACGTACTAACTCAGAAATGAAACCATTCAAAAAATAAATATTGTTAACAGGTTTTGCAGCAGCTTCAAACATAAAAATGTTGTTTTGTCCTTGTTTTTAGGAGTCGCAGTAGTTTACAATCCTGATTTTTGAATGCTAGGAGATCCTACCTTCACTTTTGGATCCTGAATTATGCAATAATAAACAAATAAAAACATGACTAAACTTAATTTTCTTCTGTCAGAGTGTAATGACTGATAAAGCAATGGTTTAATTTTGGAAATGAGTGATGCAGTTTCTGTTTTTAATAAAAGTCCAGGGTGACCAGCTACCACTGTCCATGCCAAACACAGCAAAAGTAATTAAGGAGAGAAACTTATCATTGCTGCAGGCAGTCAGCAGGCTGTGTGTGGGATCTTAAACTTGCTATACTATTCACCAGAGACTTGTGGCTCGAGATGTTTTCTCTTTTTGTTCCATAATTGTGAATTTTCTGCTGTAATGGAACAGATGGTCGACTAAACTTGCATAAATGGCTCTGGAGATGTTCCAGTTCAGTCCCTCAGCACATGTCTGCAAACATCCTGAGCAACTTTCACTTACAAAATGCAAATTAGTGCAAACCTGTCTCGTATATGTGTCTACAGAAAAACAATATTTGGCAACTATTTCTTCCTTTCACCTTTCTTCCTCTTCCCCTTATCCTATCCCTCCATCTTCTTTCTGTTACCTGTTATTACAGTTTCTTTGTGTCTGAAATTCCTGATTAGTTTCTGAGGCCACTGGAGGTGAAGTGGTTGAAGGAAACAAAGACGGAGAACTCACCCAGGCCTAAAGAGAACAACAGCATCAGAGAAAAGATGATCTGCTGCTGAGCAGCACACTGTGTGAGCACCATCCTGGACCTGAGAGGAAGGAACACAGAGAAGAGAGCAGTAAGACATGTTTGAGACAGAATTAAGAGAAAACACATCAAGGTAAAGTTTAGCATAAAGTGAATGAGAGGTGAATTGTACAGTGCTTTAGATAACAGCGTTATCTAATGCAGTCCAAATTTCTAAAACTGTTTACAAATTTTCATGTTTGAACTAAAAGCCACCTGCTCCTGTGTGTGCCTGTCAGAAACTTGGCAGCTGGTTGGGTTATAAACTCTGTGGCAGCTCTGGTAGAAAACAAAGGCGTCTTTTGAAGGTAAAAGCCAAAAAAATCTGAGACATGGGCTTTTCACCCGATCGAAGTGAAATGCATTGTTAGTCCTGCCATCTTCTAACCCTACTGCTAATGTTCACACACACTCAGGTGCATGTCACTCATCTTTATGACAACAAGTTTTACAAGTTGAGGTAATCAGTATTTGTGGGAAGTAGACACAGGTGTTAAAGCAGCACCAAAAAATATTACTGACACAAAAACTAATGGTGACCTTCACAAGTTTTTGAAAGTGCAGAATTTTCTCATTTATTGTTGTTGCTTCCCTGCACTCTGACCATTAGCTCTCCCATTATATCCACTCCCCCGTCCTGTATAAAATACACCAGATGTCCCAAAATGGCCTTGAACACTATTCATCATTGAAAACCCAATCTGAGGCAAATGACAGGGCCAGATACTGCATCACATTCACGTTATTTATTGGTGTTATAATATAATAACAAATAAATAACACTACATCTGTAAGGACACTTAAGGATCCAGACACAGTTCACTGGAGCCTGTATTCAGTGTCTTCCAGACAGTGAGCAGACCACTATGTGTGTGACAAGCTGTAATCTACTGTCACTGGAGTGAGACAATGAGACAAGGTGACCTCTGAACCCATCAGAAATGGGAGGATGCACTACTGGATATATTACAGTCATTTGGCAGAGGCCTTTGTCTGCAGTGACTCAGATTTTTCACACATTCTCCCACCTGGGCTGCAGCTGCCTGTAATACACATGTTGGTATCCAACACCGATCTGAAATAAAAGTAATAAATCTAATGAAGAAAACTGGAGCGAATCCCACTGTGTCTTTTTCTTATTCTCAGCCGTATAAAACTGGATTAACTTTTAGTACACTGCAGTGACAAAGAGATTCTGGTGCATTCCTACTGCACAACTTAGAGAAATCCTACCACACAATAGAAATGAACTGCTGAGTTTGCCAGAGGATTTGGCTCGAGGCCCAGGGCTTCTCAACTCAATGGAAAGATGCCTGAGACAGGGCTTTATTGCCCCATACTGGTATGAAATGGAGATGAGGATGGCAGCATGCTGCAGCTGAAGAAAACAGTGTTGTTTTACACAGTAATGCTGATTTTAAGGGGAGTTAAGTGACACAGATTATTCTAAATCATTCCTGCCCTTGGGGACAAAATAAATAAATAGTCCAATGGCACACAGACATTACCAACAGAGACTTACTAGCTGACCAGCAGAAGAATTTAAAACTATTTGAGCAGTAATTGGTTAAACAATGTTTGAACTTTCTTGATTTTATTAGCATAAAATAAATAATTAATCCAGTGCGAATGACCTCACACCAAGGTAGCAGCAACTCATGCCAGTGACATCGGTGTTGCTCAGAAAGAGGATTATGCAACACCAGTTCAAGTCTTTATAAACTGAAGCAATAATGGTGGCTCTCTTCTCTGACCATAGGAAAGCTCAGTACAACCTTCAGCTGAATCAGATTAGAGCATGTGAGGCCATGAAAAACATTCCTTTCACATATTAAAGCATTCAGTGACAAATTATACTGTGATCAAACATTTGTTGAGCAATTTTTAATAGCAGGCCACCAAGTTGGTCATGAACATTTGAAAAAGGGGATTTTGATGAGAGTGAGCACCCACTGTGCCACACACTGAGGCATCTAATCTCTAAAGGTGGGTTGGGGCATTGTGATGGGCTGTGACAGATTGGGGTCGAGCTGTTGGTCTCTGCATGTTGAAGGCCTGAAACACTGGCTGGGCCAGTTGAGTGGCTGACAAGATATTTCTAAAGGCTAGGAGAGGGTCATGAGGTTTGCTCAGTCTTGCAACTGGACAGCATTAGAGAGTGCTGTATCTGAGAGCCTTTGCCTGACGTTCTCAGCTGAAACAGAAAATAGAGTCCGGCCTGCGGACATCTCTATGGATACTATACAACATACTACACAGCACTTAGCGCCTATTGACAGCAGCCATTCTAGTTTGTTCAGAGGGGCTTTAGAACATACACAGCACCAGCCATCCAGTCACACCAGCAGCATACTAACCAGTACCACCTTTTGTTCGGGATGAGACATCAGATGTTGTGAACGCCTCCCTCTAAAAAGCCCCTCTTCACTTTCACAAGCACAGTTGTGTCCTGAGGAAAAGAGAGCCAGAAGTCTCTCAAATGCTTCAGTGATCTTCAATGTGAATGTCCATCCGACACATTTTCACGATGTTTTCTGAATAGCACACATTCTCAGCTCACTGCAAGAGCCAGCGAGCGGCGCGACAGAGGTCCAAAAAGAGCTAACAGACAAGGCTGGCAGACCTACATTATCGCTCAGCACTAAGCCATCAATCTGTTGAAGCAGGAGACCAACCAGCCTCATGATCATCGTGACGCAGGCAAGACAAGCCTCTCGACCCAAATCTCCTTTAAGTTCTGCAGTTGGTGGGAAAAAAGAAAAACATGAATAATGTGGAACATGTCATGTCAGCCGCTGTTGTGGTTGTGAGCTAAATCATGTCTGTGTGCACAGCATGACAGCTTGATGCTTACAATGAAGTGTGTGTGCTCACAAACTGCAAAGATTTCCTTAATCAGGTCAGGTTGAGTACCACTTTTATTCATGACACACGCACACACACACACACACACACACCTACATACACACAGCTACTGTAAACCCCACATTAAACCCTAGCCAATGCACAGGGTAAGTCACTAAATCTCACATTCAGCATTTGTGTGCAGAAAACATACATACGAACATACAGGCACTTCACACACTACAGCACACACACATCATGAGACAAGCACAAAGACTGGCACGCGACCTGTTTAAGTTTAAACCCTTTATTGCAAGACAAAAAAAGGACTGTATCGAACTTATGGTTGCAGTGCCTGTCAAGCTTTCCATTTTAGCATGACACACAGATTTACAGTTATGGGGTCACATTTACCACTAAAAATTCTTAGTCATTTTTGAAACAATGAGCCCAGTCAGTGAGCTGTTGGTTTTATTGGCTAGCTAGTTAACTGGATGAAAATTTCCATTTTAGATAAGGAGGACCATAATTATGCATTTGATGGCTAGCATTTAGCATGATAACAATACATGTTCTAGGAAAAAAAAATGAGCATCCTTAAAAAAAAAAAAAAAAATCTGTTGGATGTTATATAAACATACTTGGACAGCAACATAGAGGATAGATTCAAAGATTTCAAGATTCATTTAAGAGAAGATGAAGATATGAATGAGTTTTGGAAATCTGGCCCTATCAGATAACATGTTTGGCTGCTGGAATGTAAACAGAATAACACCTAATCTCTGATAAAGCTACTGCCTTGATATATCAGGCCTTTTTGTAACATAACCAAGGCATTTAGGTAATTATATAATCTTTGCCTTTGGACATATTACTCTACCTACACCAGAACCTCGGTGTAACAAATGTGTTAGCCAAATTAGCACATATGTTAACAAAGATAAGCACAGTGTTGAATCCATGACGTACAATTTGTAATATTTGTTTTGAAAAGGCTTGATACTTTATTTATGTGCAATAATTTTCATTTCATAGAAAAAATAAATCATATTTTCCCTTTTCTGCTCAACAGCTAGAAGAAGCTTGACCTCTTCTTTCTCCCACTGGGAAATAAACTTATTCTTATTTCTATAGTAAGTTCTGAAACCTTGAGTGCAACAACATGAGGGCAAGAATATAGTAGCAGAATGAATATCTGAAAATATGAGCTCATTTGAGAGGAGAGACTCAGACTGGTGATAAATCTATGGATATTAGTACTGACACAGAAATTTAGAGGAAGCCTTCAAACTCTAGGTCTTGTTTCCCTTTACTGGGACCTTATGGGAGAAGGTGATTCCACTTCTTCCTCTCTTCTTTAATCATGTCTCACAAAACTATTACTGCCAGAGAGCGGCAGAGTGAACAGCATAACAACAGCTCCAGAAGAATGAGTAACAGACAAAATGGTGAGCTGGGAAAGGAAGAAGATGAAGGAAGAATGAAAGGAAAGTCGTTCTACCACCGCAAGGACAATAATACACTGCCAAGATGAAAGCTCTTCAAAAAAGCTGGAATCTCAGTAATTCTTCTTAATTTGCTGCTTGTGTCAAAATTGCTGCTGCTAGTCCATCCTGAATAAATACCTTACCAAAATGTGAACTTCCTTGTGCTTGAGGGAAAGCAATTTTCATTAATGAGTTGTAAAGATAGGAAGAAATACAGTGATGGTATGTTGCAGTGGTGATTTAGTGCCATAAAAATGACATGAAGTACTGCTCAAGAAATTATAAACAAAAAATCATACTGCAGGGAGTGAACTGAGCTGAGTTAGGTGTTCACTTCCTGCACACAAACACACAGATAGCCTTTGTTTTCTGTGTGTTCATGTGGTGATTAATCACACTCGAAGCAACTAATGACTCATGCAGCTCTGGCCTGGGCTTCAGATGGAAACCCTTTGCAAAGCTGCTGGTCCCTCCAATTCAAGATCACACAGTGCATCCTCTCACGCTGACACCATTGATCTCACTGGGCATGGGGAAAGGGGTTATTTAAACTGTCTCGATAACATGGTTAAGAGATGCCAAGCTAGAATTTGACTAGATGGGTGTGCAGTAAAGCACGGAGAGAAGGGAATTTGGATCACACTGAAGGATCCTTGACAGGGAAGTCTAGTTTGAAACAGACAGATTAGTT